TATCTAGGAAACTTCATTTATCTGGGAAAAGTTATTTTAAAACAAAGGAATAAACTGAACTGGGGAAGAGAGGAAGGAGGTTCTTGAATAATAATAATAATAATAATAATAATAATAATAATAATAATAATAATATTATTATTATTATTATTATTATTATTATTATTATTATTATTATTATTATTATTATGATAGAACAACTGAGCTGGGGATCAAAGTGAAGATCTTTGATTTGCAGGTGATTTTTATTTTTATTATTATTATTCTTTAATTCGGAATCCGGCTCTCCTCCCATTCCACAAATAAGAGCAAAGCGTCTACTGAATTAGAGGAGCCAAGCCTGGTCCAGGCATGGTTAAACCTCAGCCAGGAGCCCGAGATGAAGCTAAACCGAATAATAAATGGAAGATGCCTTTGGATGCATCTTCACCGGTTTCAAGAGGGAAGGCCAGGGACCGGCCCAACAATCGCTCGATTCAAGTGGGAGAATTTCCTAGCAGAGCCTTTTGGCTTAACGCTGCGAGAAAAATCCTAATGCATAATTTACCAGATTTTAGGTAAGCTCTGAAGGACAGGAAAAAACTGATGAGGCAGGACTTTCTGTTTTGAGCTAGTGGATCCCAAGCTAAGATTTCTGTCTTTTCTGCCATCGTCTATATTCGGTCGGTGCCCACGCAGAGAGGGATACACTCAATTGGAGGACTCCGGGGTAGGAAGGACACCAATAATGCATTGAAGAGAGTCAAGCCCAGAGATTTTGGGGGAGTTGAACCCCAATTTTTGCATCTGAAGGGCGTCTCTCCTTTCCTGAAATATTCTACCCTCCTGCCTCTTCTCCTGAGCATCAGCCCGCCATCAATCCCGCCCTGCAAGGGTTAACGCGAAACTGGCTGTTCTTTGCAGCCATATAGTTGGGATCTGATCAATATTTTCTATCAGCGTGCAGCCAGAGCAGCGTAGCAAAGGCAGTGTGTGTATGTGTGTGTGTGTGTTGTGGGGGGGGGGTCTGCTGGGGAAGAGCAGAAGAGCAAAACAAGCTTGTCACGTTTCACGGCCACAAGACAGGAGCAGAGATCAGAATTTGGGGAGAAATCCCATGGCAGAGTGACTGTGGCTCTGCCATGGGATAAAACCTGTATTTTCTGTGCCTTTTCTGCTGCGGACCATGGGCACGTGCTTCCTTCCAAGGGTTAGGCTATCCTCAGGCAGGTTTCCTGCCCACAATTAAGGCAATTAAAACCACTGTTAATCAGATGTCTCTTTGGTTCCACGCGGGCCAAATTTTGCGACGGAAAGTAACCGAAGTCGCTCGAAGAAAACAGAAAGAGGCATTTATCTATTTATATGGAGACACAGGCGTGTAGCTATGTATATGAAAAATAGTCACTAGCAATCAGGATGCTTTAAAAAGAAAAAACACAAGACAATAACTACCTTAAAACAGATCAATTGTGTAAAATTAGACCGGAAGTTTAAAAGGTAGGAAAAAAGGGATCTTACTGGAAGAGAGAATTTCCAAAAATCTAGGGGCCAACACCAAAAAGTCCCATCTCTTATCCCAGCACTCCAACCTTGGAGCAAAGGGCCCTGGGCAGATTCAGACTTTCCAAACCACAAGCAGGTTTGTGATGGTGAAAGACACAATTTCACAATCAGAACGTCTCTGGGCCTCCTAGACTTTTGAGGCACATTTCCAGATTTACTTCAACATCCTTCATTCTTTGGAGCAGAAAGTTTAAACTTTCAAAATGTGTGAGGCATTCCTTATTTCCCAGGGATGCCTGTTATAAAAGTTGGCCTTTCTAAGCCAACATCCAACATCCTTCTGGAAACATCTTCATTCAAATATAAAGGGCTTATTTTATAAAGAGTTGTGCCAGATTTTAACACTGGGGTGATGATCGAATCTTAGTTGGTGAAACATTAAAACACCTTTAAGTCCGCTTAAAACTATCTAGGTTTGCAAAATAACCCAACAACCATCACCTCGTTTGAATGCTGCAATGCACAGAGGTGTTTCTCTAGCTACGGCTTATCGAGATCTGCGTGATTTTGATGTCGATGCCCGCCTTTCTGTCAAGAGGAATTGTCAACCTATTTTTTAGAATGTTATCTAATTTTAGGTTCTATTTAATTGGGCCAAACTATGTTATAATTTTAATTAGCAATTTTATGATGTTTGTGTATCTATATTTTTGACTGTACACCGCCTTGAGTCCTACGGGAGAAAGGCGGTATAGAAATATAATGAATGAATGAATGAATGAATGAATGAATGAATGAATGAATGAATGAATGAATGAATGAATGAATAAATAAATAAATAAATAAATAAATAAATAAATAAATAAATAAATAAATAAATAAATAAATAAATAACCTGCAAGGCTTGGCAACAGATGAGAAAAAGAATTATAGATTTGTTCAGGGGCTGGTCCACGAATTTGGCAGGTTGAAGCTTTTGATTGTGGTCCTGGATTCACAACCTGGAATTCACACACACCATCCAAAGCTCTGGATTGAGTTTCTCCCGTTGTGCGAACTCAGGCGATTAAGGCTTTTCTATAAACCACCGTTAAGCAAACCATCACTGTATGGGGATACGCCATCCAAAGAAGGGTTGGGTTACCTTCCTTGGCAATTATTTTTGGAGAGCTAAATGAGAAAATCCCTGTTTAAATTTTGCTTCCCTTAATGGTTCGTAATTGTTCCATGTTAGCAGTTTTGTTCCAGTCCCATCCTCGAAGGCGGCTTTTTAAAAATGGCTACCTGTAACTTTTTGTTACACTCCAAATACAGAGTTCAAGCAAATTTTAGTTAGGAAATCTAACAAAATGTATTTATTTATGTGGCGTATGGCATAGAGCGCATGGATAATAGTAATGAAATTACACAGAAAGAGCATGTCGTATGTGATAGAATATGGAGTGAATTTTGCAAGGTTTGGGGGATTCAGGGATTATATATCAGTTATAGGTTACATTTTAAAACATGTTGATTCATAAGAATAGAATAAGTGTTCTATAGTCCCAAAGGTGCTGTTTTTTCTTTGAAGAGGTTTCACTTCTCATCCAAGAAGCTTCTTCAGCTCTGACTGGATGGTGGGGAATGGAAGGATTTATACTCCTGGCAAATAAAGCTGGTCATTTGCATCCTTTTAGAGAGTCATTGAGGCCACTTGGAAGCCGCCTGAATCCGGACTACAGGATTCAGGTGACCCTGGCGGCACAGACAAACCTCCAAGCGGCCTCAACGATTCTCAGAGAGAGCGCCAACGACCAGATGACTGCAAGAAATATAAATCCATTCTCCACCATTCAGTCAGAGCCCGAAGAAGCTTCTCGGATGAGAAGTGAAAGGTCTTCAAAGAAGAAACAAGGAAGTCCAGTTGCCTCTCGAAAAAGCACCTTTGGGACGACCGTGACTTGAATGACTAAGACTCTCCATAGACAAGCGTTCTACAGATCCAATCAAGTGCTGTATTGGTTAGTTGGAGAAAAATCTCCTTTTCTTCCTGAATAAGCTCTCAAAAGACAGAGCTAGTCACTAGACACAGGGACGCGGTGGCTCAGTGGCTATGACGCTGAGCTTGTCAATTGAAAGGGTCAGCAGTTCAGCGGTTCGAATCCCGAGTGCCGCGCCACGGGGTGAGCTCCCGTGACTTGTCCCAGCTTCTGCCAACCTAGCAGTTCGAAAGCAGGTAAAAAATGCCAGTAGAGAAATAGGGACCCCATTGGTGGGAAGGTAAGAGCGTTCCGTGCACCTTTGGCGTTGAGTCATGCCGGCCACATGACCACGGAGACGTCTTTGGACAGTGCTGGCTCTTCGGCTTTGAAACGGAGATGAGCACTGCCCCCTAGAGTCGGGAACGACTAGCACGTATGTGCGAGGGGAGCCTTTACCTTTTGGTCACTAGACATCTATTAAAATGTTTCGTCTGGAAAGCTGCTATTCTGATTTATTTTATTTTTTTTAACCAACCCACCAAGCAGGTTTCTAAAAGGCACCACCACCGTTGCACGGGAAGGTTGCGTGCTAAGCTGATCAAACTGGGTTAAAAATGGCACCCTGGGTGAGATGGCAGGACCAACTTTAGGGCTGGCTGGCACATCGGAGGGGTCTGCTCCCCAACCACCTCACGCCAGCTTCTGAATTTGCTGGAGGGAGGAAGCGTATTTCTCCCTTGAGCCCAATGTGGGGGTCTCCTGAGGAGGACGGGGGTGCCCTTGCCATGTAAGCCGGACTTGCCTCCGGATGCCCACATGGGTTTCTTGCTGGGAAAAGGACTGCGAGGAGCCAGAGGGCTGGAGAGGCAAGAAAAGGAGAAGAAGATTTCAGTCACCAGAGCTATTGATTTAGCATTAAATTTCGAACTCCCCTCTTCCTCCGCCGCCTCCATCCCTGCCATTAAATGAAGGCATAAGAGCAGGGAGCGGGTGCAGTTGTCTGCTTTAAGGTCATCCTCGGGCTAAAGAGCAAACTTTTATTCTGGATTCCAAGGGAAGGGAAGCAAAATAGACACACGCAAAGAACTGGAAACGCTTTGCATCTGACCCTCAAACCCAGCTACTCCACCTTCCTGCCCCCCAAATCAACTGGAGGCCGGTCACTTTATTCCCCCCCCCCTCAATAAGGCAGAAATATTCTCTCCCACTGGGTGCACCAGGCCTGTGTTTAACCCGGGTGGCAACCCTGCCCTCGATCTTAAAACCGGTTTAGGCAGCAATGAAAAGGAGACAGGGGGAAGGCTGGGAGGGAAGAGGATCTCTGGATGCCTCTTTCCTTCCACAAAACCTCCCTCGAGAGGGGCAGTCTACCAGAATGCCGGTGGTGATAGAGCAAAGGATAATAATAGGCGGAGACGGGAGCTGATCCTCTGCCAAGGCGAACAGCCATCCAGAGGGCAATTAATATTTATTTTCCTCTTTTATACGCTGCATAACTAACGGCTTCTTGTCCTTCCAACCTGTCCATTTTTCTCCCCCCTGCCCCCCCTGCAGCCTGCAAAAGAAAAGAGCAAGACCAAAGCAAAGTTGATCGCAACCATGTCCCCAAACGCCACCGGCTAGTCTTCACGGACATCCAGCGCCGCACCCTCCACGCCATTTTCCACGAGAACCAAAGACCTTCGAAGGACCTTCAGATCACCATCGCCCAACAACTGGGCCTGGAGCTCTCCACCGTTAGCAACTTCTTCATGAACGCCCGGCGGAGGAGCTTGGACAAATGGATGGAGGAAGGGAGGTCTCCTTCCGCCGGCTCTACCCCGTCCTCGGCCGTCACTTGCACCAAAGCGTGACACCCTCGCCCCCCACTCCCTTCCCCCTTCCCCCCCGAGAGGACGCCGGACGTTTCCCCCTTTCTTGCACCAAAGATGGAAGACGAGCACTTCAGCCGGGCAGGCGTTAAAATGGCCAAAGGAGAAGAAGGGACGGTCGTTTCTGAATCCTGCTCTGGGGTCACCACCCTCCTGTAATCTGAGACCCCGGGGAGGGCGAGTGGGGGGGAGTCTAGGCCAAGGTGAGCCCCTTCTTCTTTGACCGGACTCCCTGAAGGACCTTGAGAAGGACGGTCAAGGCTGCTGCCTCCAAGAAGTTGGGGTTCCTTTTGTTTCCTTCTACAAACTGTCCCGTGTGGGTCCCCCAACGAGGATGCATCGCCATCTAGTGGTTCAAAGCAGGGGGAAGTGGGGAGGGGGGGGAGGACGAAGGACCACAACGGGGGTTACCTTCCACCATGGAGAAGGCCCCTTCCCCTTTGGAGTAAGGGTCAAACATCCCAAAGCAAGTAATTTCCTTCTAAAGTCCTTGGCACCAAGTACCACCCGATGCAGGTGGGCACGGCCCAATCTCCCCCAAGCGCCCCCCCCAATTCAATGCATGAAGCGTAATGATGGAGACCCCCCCTCACTCTCTCACGGTTTCAAGCCAGTTAAGACAAAGCAGAAGCGGTCTTAAACCAGAATTCCTCCTCCTCCGTCTTCTAAGCCACTGCAGGACAGACAGCAATCTGAGATGAGCACAAATGTCCATCCGTCCCCCTCTGTGCACCCCACCCCTGGCTAATTTTGCATCCGGAATATCCCCCTGCTGCCCCTCCTTGACCTCCCCCCCTCCCTTCTCCAGCATCTTCTGGGGGCCCACTTATCTCCCGGCTCCCTTCCTGGGCCTTGTGTGAAAGGGGTCAGGAAGCAAAAACAGCTTTCTTGGGTTGGAATATTCAGGATGGAGACGGCCAGCTGACCGGGAAAAAGAAACCAAAAATGAAATGCCACCAGCCACACTTAATTTGTGAATTTTTTTCATGGTATGGAAAACAAGACCGGGCACCTCTTTTAAGGCACTCAGGCACCGTCCTCTATTCTATTTTAAATTTATTCAAAGTGCCCTGCAATCCGGCTCTTTTTCCTGGTGGTCCCTTTTCTCCAGCCAGCCCTAAAAGATCTTCCCTTGTCAATCATTGCATCTCATGCCACCTCGCCCCCTTCCCCGTTGCCCTTCTTCCCCCTGGCCTCGCCAGCCTCAATCCTTCCCAAATGCATCTTGAGAAAGAAAGAAAGAAAGAAAAAAACACGATTGAACAAAAGGAAGCTGCTCAGAGCATTTCTGGATGGATCCACCTCATTTGGTTTCCTCTGCTTGTTTCTTTCCAAGCTTTGGGGCAGAACGGCAGAAGGGCCCAACGCCTGGGGGGGAAATCAGACCCTTTGTGTGGGGAACCTGCCCACTGCCCAAAATCCGCCCTCTTAAGTAAAGATCTACCCATCTATCAAACTTTTGCAAATGGCAACTTGCTTCTCAATTCTGCATTAGGGTAGTCAGGTTCCCAACATTTTTTCTTTTTTCTATTCCGGCTTGCTCCTTGTTCCAGCTAGTTTCTGTTAGGGAGGGGGCTGCCTTGCAACAGGTACAAGGGGGAAAATAACCAGGATCTGGAGAGACCCCCTTCATCTTAATCAAACCAGCCAAACCTCATGGGCTGGGCTTGTAAACTCCCTTCCGTAACTTTTTTTTGTTATCTAAATAGAGGTTTGTCACTCCAGCAGCAATTCTTGAGCAAAATCCATCACAGCCAAGCCATTTTAAATTTTATAAGGCATCTCTTGGAGTGGGGGGGTGGGGAGATGGAGGGGCTAAGAGTCAGAGGGAGGCATTCCGGGGTTGCCCAAAAATGTCCAGAGAGCATCGAAAAGCAAGGCTTAAGGAGCATGGACAGAAGGCGAGGAGCAGGCCACTTCCTGGGGAAATGGAAAATGTGAATTTGGGAAGCCTTTTCGATCTCCCCTCTCCACCAAGGGCTGGACAAATGCAAATTATTCTCTGTGCATCTTGGAAATCTGCCTTTGTTTTATCTGATTGGCGGTCAAAGTCACCGCCATCTATGCAGAGGGCGCCAGACCCACCTTGGCTCCCCCTCTTCCCCACCCCCCAACTGGCGGCTGCTGCTTCCTCCTCCTCCTCCTCCCCTTCCATGCCTCTTCGGTGTTCCCCTTGTCCCAAAGGTTCTCAAAATTACCGGAAAAAAAAAAAAAGAAATTCTACCTCACTTTGTCTCTTGCACCAAAAGATACCAAAGATGGTTTTGTTTCCCTTTTGCAAACAAACTCTTGTGTGTGGGTGTGTGTATGTGTGGGTGGGTGGGTGTGTCGGGGAGAGTGCGTCAGTGTTGGAGCAGGTGCGTGGACGGGTGCGTGTGTCGTAATAGATAGTTCTCTCTATTTTTTATTTCCTGCATGGCTTCTCTAAGTACTTGGTTTGTGTCAGGACGCTCAGCTTGCTCTGGACAGAGAGGGCACTGGGGGGGGGGGGGAAGAAGACCCTGAACCCCGGTTTTTCCCAAACTGCTTCCCCCACCCCACTCTCTGGCCACGGTGTTCCCAGTGGAAGCTAAAATAATGCACTTTAAGGGACTCAGCTGCTGGGACAGAAGTTCCTTTCTGAACAGACCTTTGAGCCACCAAATGAACAAACGGGATTTTAAAAAAAGGGGGACTAAATTGTTTGCCAATTCCAAACGGAGCTTTATGGAACCAGAGGGCGGAAAAAGTTGTATATTACTCATTCTTCTTATGAGGCTGATAGCTTTCCTTCCTTTGCTCCCTTTTCACTGCTGACACTGTTTTTTAAAATATTCTGGTTTCTTTTCTTTTTTTAAACTCTCTGACCGGGTCTCAAAAACTCAGTTCTTCCGAGATTTTGTTTTTTCCCATAAAGGTTGTCCGCTCGCTTCTGACAACCACGCTCTGACCAGCCATCAGCATTAATTATTACATTTTCAGTTGTTATTATTATTACAGTTTTACAAAAGAAGGGGTTCAGGTGACTCACCGTAAGAAAATACCGTTCAAAGGCAAAGTAACCAGGCACAAAAATAGAGCTGTAAGAAGTCCATACCAGGACAAATCGTTCAGCTTCTAATTAACGCATTTTCTAAATGAGTAGCTAAGTTTAGTACTTATATTCGATCAGAGCTTTTCAAAGTTGTTGGGATAGGATTATGGCAGAAGTGTTGCCCTCTTGAACAATCTCATATTTTAATAATCTACTTCCTCACAACTCCAGTATCGGCCCCACTCGCAAAATTCCGATAAAACCAGAATATTACAGGAGGAAAAACTTCTCATCTCTTGCCTCCCTTCAGCTAGGTTTATGAACCCTAATGTGGTTTCTTTTTGGCTGTGGGGACACATCCATGAAGACTTAATCTCTATGCAAACCAGCCAATGGAGGCTTGTGTAATAAGCCACGATGATAAACCTTAGCTTAGCATTTGCTTTAGCGCAATGTGACTCGTTCGCTCTCCAAAAAAAATCAATTTTGAGGCCTTTAAACTACATCTGAACAAACAGAAAAAAAAAAAATCACACTCATCAATATGGCCTTGACTATCAAATAGAAAGACGATGCCTTAAAATAGGTGTATTTCTTACCCTGGTATTTAAAATATATTTTAAAAACAGGTTACTTCTAAAAGAAGTACTCAGCCGTACTTCTTACGGGCGAGTCCATAAGAACCAAGTTCTGAACCAGCCCTTTTTGCCAACTCGTTAAGCTCTTTAGAGATTTTTCTTTTTTTTTTTTTTACCTGCCTCACACACACATCCTTGTTGGTGATCTCCATAGTGAACGAGACCTGGAAGGCAACCAACCAGCCTCTCACCTATTTGACAAGGTGTGGCAACCAAGGATAACAGATGGCTTTAAGAAAATAGTTTGCTAAACTCCATAAATTTAGTTCCAAAGTCCAATGAATCTGGTTTTGCAAGGAATCCATCGGATACCAACTGGTTCTTGGAGTACCATCAATATAGTACCATGTGGGCAACTCAACTCCAATTCCAGTGTCTCAATCAGCTCTCTTATCGCTATTTTTATTTGCTTGTCACGCAGTCCGTACATTTTTCAGGAACCAAAGCTTTACGACATCACAGGCACCAAAAAATTAAAATAAAAATGAAAGATTGCTTGTGAGTAAGCCTACAACACCTGGGCTCAGACCAAGCCCTGATGACGTCTCGGTATCGCTTCCTTGGGTTGAGTGTTTTTCTGTCAATCCTGACATGTTCCACCTCGTTTAGCCTCTTAAATAGTTTAAAACTGTAAAACCCGTCCAGCTTGGGAGGTGCATTAAACAGAACCAGGACTTGTTTATATTACCAAACTGAGACCCTCAATAGTAACAGCAACTCAAAATTATGTTCAAAAACATGTCCCGTGACTTTTCCCCCTACCTGTCAGATCAGGTTGATTACTTTGAAAACAAATAATTATTCCAGAAATAAATAGGCAAACTTCTCTATAGCATAAAACAGTGGTTCTCAACCTGTGGTCCGTGGACCCTGGGGAGGGGGCTATGATGTCATCATAGGGGGTCCACAAAGACTTGAAGAAATGTTATGTTTTAAATCTTAAGTCTTTGGGGGGCTCTGTGGCTCCAAAGGGTATTTAAAGGGGGGGGGGGGGGCAGTGGAAAAAAAAAGATTGAGAACCACTGGAATAAAAGATCATTTTTTTAAAAAAACGGCTACCCTGTCATTCAAAAGTGGATCTATTCCCCTTCCTCTTCACTCCCTGGCCAGTGTAAGCTGAGTGGTGTGGTCATCCTGTTTTTAAAATCAAAGCAGTGCATTACTATCTATTAATGAATTGAATGTTTCTCCTTCGTTTGTCAACTGTGCTAACTTTAAAAAAAAAAAAGAAAAAAAACCAAAGTCTTTTTTTCCCCCCTTTGCCTGTAAACAAGAAAACGAAAAGACCAAAAAAGTTGGAACGAAAGCTGTACATTTTATACCAAAGTTTTTTCTTCTTGAATACCTCATCCTGTAGCTGTTTGTGGTGAAATGTTATTCAGAGAAAAGTAAACGTCCTTAAACTGAAGCACAACGGAGCTGTTTTATGCGCAAGGGCGGGAGGGGGGGATTATGGGAAAGTGGGGTAACTTAACTTTTTTTTAAAAGGGGGGAATTCTAAGATCTAGGGAAGCGTGTGAAGGCAAGCGTTTTCTGCTGCACCAAGTTAGTAACCCAATTCTAGGCATTAGTAGGGATTCTCACTGACTTACCTAGCTGCTGCAACCTTTTACTCTTCCCATCCAGCCTGACGGTTCTTCTGAATTTTCCAATCCAAATTTCTTCCTCCATCTATGACATTGGAGGAAATGTTCAGCGGGCTTTAAAATCTATTTAAAGGGTCTTAAATCCATTCGTTTTGTACGTTTAGAAATCTCCCGCGCTTTTTTTCTAACTTAACCACCACAAAAAAAAAAAATTAAAAATTACAGGGGACACAATCACAACTTTCAAAGGAAAGGAAAGAGTTTAATAACAAGGCAACGGCCTCTAGAGACTACAAACCCACAGAAACCATGGTTCTTCAAGACCCTGAAACAGACCTGGATGAGTCGAGGCCTCAACTCTGTGTTGTAGCAGCTTCAAAGGGTCAGTTCTAACTCGTGGCTCAGGCAGCCTCAACACACCTCTGGGAACGCATGGTAAGGCACTAAACTAAAGTACATCGAGTTGTGAGCAGAACCACAAGCATTAAGGTACAATTTTACGTAGTAGGTCTGGAATTCGGTTTCCGTGTGAATTCAGCTTCAGGTTTCTAGATCTCATGGTTCTGAAAACAGGCTCTAAAGCACGCCCTTCGAGGCCAACGGACCTCTTAAAAGTCTCACAAGATAAGATGAATAAAATAGAATGGTTTTATCCCAGCCCCTTTCAGGAAAAACCTATAACCAGTTTGTAATAATGCATTCTGGCTTCGGTGGTTGTCAGTACAAGGTTGAACTCTTAAATTCGATGCACTTTAACTGGCGTGCATCTGAACGGCTGTACCAGGAGGAAACAACCTGGGGCGTCACTCTTAAATTGCCAAGATTCTCCACACAACCTTTACGTTCAAAAAGCAGAAACCAAACACGGGCGAGATTGCATAGAGACGTGTGCTGTAATTCAGCAAACAGAAGAACAGCACGAGAAGGAAGAAAGGAAAAAAAAAAAGCAAAGGAACTTGAATGGGCAAAAAAGAAAAACCTGGCGGGACAAAAAAATGAGGTTGGGATCGTGAGGTTTATAAGAGGGAACAAACACACCCACGGAAATGAATCCCCCTCCTCCATAGGGCGGAAAAGAGGAGGATTTGAAGTGAGAGCAAAGGGGAGGGGAGGCCAGAGAGAAAGAACTGTCCTTTTGTCCCAGACACAGCCCCTCCTTCGTTTTAACTTGGGGGTCTCGGAAAAAAATCAACCAGGGATCCAGAGCAATGCGCGAACTTCTTGGCTGATTCCCAGATCCCTAGAAGAAAGTGTGACAGTGGTGTGTGTGTGTGTGTGTGTGTGTGAAGGTAGGGCTGTAACAGAACTGAGGTCTCCAGGCCCAGCTTCATAGGCCGACGGTGGGCCTGGCAAGCCGCAGTCACCAAAAGCTCAGGAAGGCGGGAAGATACCACCAAGCCACGGGCTTCCTTCCTGGAGGAGAAAAGGGGCGAAGCCGCTTGGAACCACTTCATGCGCCAGGAGGGTTTAGGATTTATTGAAGGCCGCCAACACGGCCCAGATCATCTCGGTGCCCGCTGCCTTGGCGGCCTCCCCCTCGGGGTCCCTATCCATCAGATCCTTGGACCTATTCATCGCCACATCGTACTTCTCATCCACCAGGCTGGCAAAGACGTTCTCCAGGACGTCCGAGGCGTGGGCCAGGACCAGCAGCGCCAAAGTCCTCCTGTCCATGCGGTGGGGGTCGTTGACCCACCTGTCGAGGAGGCTCTCCTGAAGCCGTTTCACCAGCCGCTGCTTCTCCGTGGTGTTGGTGACAGGGTGGGTGGTCATGTCGAAGAGGAGGAAGTTCTGCTTCTCGGTGGTCAGGATGCCCTTCTCCACCAGGTTCTTGGCAATCCGCTCGCGGACGTTACGGAGCTGGTACTGCAGCTTGAAGGGATTCCAGGTTTCACCTGCAAAGGAGGGGACCGTTCGGAGTCACGACTGTCTGTCCGGAGGATCCAAAAGTTCACTCTGGGGGCAAATTGTGACGGAAGCCCCCAGCAGCTTTGGACAGGCCAGCCTGAAACGTTTCCCTCCCCCCTTTATTCTCTTCAATCCTAGATTTTGAAGATCGTCTCCCAAATATATGGATTTATATCCACTACAAACCAATTCTCTGTTTTCCTCTGGGTAGTGTGTTACACCCAACATTTTGGACAAAGTTAAAAGCTGACTTGGTGATCGCCAGAATCCCAACTCTTGAAAGAAGCTCATTTGATTTCTTCCTTTGGGGTTGACGATCATTGCAATTTCTGGACAATGGTTTATACTGGTAATTGAATGTGTACCTAAACCACGGTAATGCTGTCTTCTTCAACAATTTAACAATTCACTAATTTCCCTTCCGTCCAAATCTATGCATTGCACTGAGCCATAAAGTACACCATTTTCTGTTTGTTTGTTTTTTATTTGGGCTGTGGCGGCTTGAAAGCCCGAGTTAAAATTGAGTTGGCTTTGGCCAATTTCAACCGATCCCACAAAACCCAGGCTCACTGCAACCCATGACCCCAAGCACAGAAACCAGCAAGCCCAGGGAAGGATGTCACCCGCACGGCTGTTTCCGCACTGCAGCTACAAGGCAAGCATTTTGCAGGGGGCCAATGGTTGCGATCCGAGAGGCGAGGGCAGCAGCCCCACAACACAGTCATCCAATCTCTCTTACCTGTGAGCAACTCAATCCAGGTTTGCACCGTCTCGGGTGACTCGGTGGCCTTGAGATGGCGGAGGGTCTCATCAAGCAGCACATCTCCAGTTGGGGCATCTGACTTGATGAGGACCTGAGCAGGAGAAGAAAACGGGGGTCCATGCGCTGAAGGCACTGCAGCCCTTAAGAGCGCGAGGGCAAGCAGGGAAGGCAAAACCTACTGTTAAGGTTCCAAGTCATACATCCCCAACAATGAGAACTCCAAGGCAGGCATGTTCCTCAAAGAACATTTTATTGGGACATATCAAATTGATGGAAAACTGGTTCTAAGTTCCCACCGGTTTTACACCCAATTAAAAGTAAAACTTTGTCACTTTCCCCACAGAGTCACCAGTCACATGGTCCAATCAGTATATAGTCCAGTTGCCAGGTGACCTCAGTCTCCGCCTTTCGAACACCTACACCAGCATCCTTGATTCCCAGGGGAAAGAATTTTATTTTGGCTGCAACATCCCAACTATCTCTATACCCACCCACCCCTCCCTGGCCCCTTCGCTCCAGGCTGTGTCAGCCCTGAAGCAATGCAAAAAGAAACCTCCTTAGAGGAAAGCTACAGAAAAGAAAATGGCCACAGTTAAGACAGCTTCAAGGCTGACATCTACCTTTCGATCCAGCAGGCGTTTTTTCCTCATGGACTGGGGCTCCAGCTGTACCCTCCCTCGCATGGCCAGCTCAATTAGGATGCCCCCTCGCAGCCCCGAAGAAATGCAGTCATTCCAGAAGGATGTGTAGCCCTGAGAGGACGAGGAAAGCAGAGGTCAACGGAGGGAGCTCAGCAGTTCCTGAAGTGCACGCACAGGTTCACCACAAATCACCCTGGTCCTGCCAGCCTTTACCCAGCACATTTTGCACAATTGTTATACATCCTGACACACAAACATCAGCCATAGGTCCTCCCTTAGTTGTCAATTTAATCATGAGGGGAAAAGGCCCCACACCAGTTTTTGATAAAAGGGTGTGAAAATAGGGAGCAGCAAAACTATCATTAAATTCAGATTTTCAGAAAATGTGCCTCTGAGTAGGAAGACAGTATCCATAAGTGCAGGGTTTAAATTCAAGATACTTAAGATACGCTGAATTTCAGTGTCATATTTTACAACCTGCATTCTTGCATCAGGCAGGTGTGGGGGAAAAAAATCAGTCATATTGTATCTAATTTGTTCAGATTTTTTTCTTTTGCCTGGTGATTCTGAGATTACATAATTATAAATCAATTAAGATAATGGCTACAAACTTTGTAATGATGCCTAATAACCAAGCATGCTAACTATGACTAATTGCTTTTTTTTTAAAAAGCCCAGCTAGGTTAATAATAGATTTCCTTAGATTCCAACTTTGACAGCAGAGATAGGGAGGTTATACCATAAATAATTGTAGCAGAGAACATTTGGATGAAATGTGGACACAAATAGAAAAACAAACAAGATATTTTGCGGTTCCTGTATGTCTAGAACACACACACAAATTACCATCAACCTCAAATCTCTCAAATATGCAAACACTCGTAAAACTTTCCTTTCCTTCTCAACATCCAATTAAATCATTACATAGTTCCTGAAAGTAACGGAGGAAAAATGGGATTTTAAAAACCATCTGTAGTTTTTAAATGGCACAAAACATTTAAATATGTAGAACTCGGTGTTCTTTCGAAAATCTGCACTCCATTCATTGTTTTATGATGCTTATAAATCTCTTGGCAGTTTAATCTGTTTTTCTTACTTTTTTTTTTCTTTCTCTCATTTTGCATCTCTTCTTTCTCCTACAGGGTTGATAGCAAATCATAAGAAGAAGAAAAGGAAGTGGGACATTTATCTCACCGTTGCAACAAAGCTAATGGTATAGGGGTCTCCTGCTCGAGCAGGGGGTTGGACTAGAAGACCCCCAAGATCCCTTCCAGCTCTATTCTGATTGAAAGCGATTCTAACTTGTCTTTCAGCTAAATTTGAATTCAATTCCTTTTGGCTCCATTTCAAGCCAAACACAATTTTACTGCTCTTTTGTCCTCTATGATTTCTGTCAGTCAAAATGACGCAAATAGAGGATTTTGCTGCACCTTTTTACAAGCAAGAGAAGCAAATCCCAGCTACAAGTCTTGGGAATTCTTAAAGTACAGTAAAAAGGTGTTTATCCCATCGATTCTTTTAATTAGTGATTCAATTTGGTATCCCCTACTGTAAAAAAAAAAAAATGTCGGGCATTCTTCTACAATCCCGCAGGGATGTCTTTTTCTATTCAGTCTAATTACAATTAGCTTCCAGGTCTGCAAAGTTAGGAAATCCAGGATGGGAGCTACAGCTGGACACTGTTAGTAGGGACAATCAAGGAAAAGCCAGCACCAGTTTCTCCCTGAGTAAACCTGCCACGTGTGTCCGGCGTCCCCGTGGAAGAGCAGGAAATGAAACTCCTGAGAGAAAGCCACGGAACAGGTGGAGCTGGAATTAGGACACAATAAATTTAAACATTGTCCCCAAAGGTCAAGGAGTTATGTACACAACACACCAAGGTTAAATGCTGGTTTGTTATGTTACAGCCTCCAAATGCAACTTCCGGCTTCTTAGGGAGAAGCATTTCCCCACTCTTATCTGCGATGGCCAAAGTTACGGGAGTTTCTGTACAGGTACTTGGCTGGCAAAAATACGGGCCCCAAGTTTCCTATTGTTCCACCCTGGAGGAAAAGAGCCAAGCTGGCACGGGCTGCTGTTCCCTGGTTTTTCATTAAATCGGGTTCTGTTTGTTGATGTTAGTTGCCTGACCAAGCCAGGAATACATTAGTAATGATAGCTGGATTGGCAATGCCCAAGGAGGCTCTTGAGAAGTTTTGCTTCTCCCACACCCGTCCTTAGTCCCGTCAAACTTTTCTAATTAGGGAAAAGTTATGAGCCTTGGTGTTGGCAAAAAAAAACCTCGGCAAACTGGTTTGCTGGTAAAACAAATGCCAAAGGGATCAGTTTACTGCTGGTTTAAAATGCAAACCACCCATCATAATGAACTCCACTCCTTCATACAAGCACTGTTAAAATCGCAACTGAGTCTTCAATGATCTTAGTCAAAGAGGAAGCAGAATCCGACACTGGATTTCAATTTTCTGCGCTTGACTGAACTTTTCTCTGACCCTTCAAATCAAGTTGCAAAGCTGCTGTGTTGTTTTTCTTAATGTTGCTGGCTTGTTTAGGAAACTTGTTTTAGTTGTGCAGAGTTGTTACCAAATTGTATCACTCTTGAGCTCATTTCCGAGTGCCTTTTGTTGCTTACAAACCAAATCTAAATTCTGTACATTGTCAGGGGCCTTACTAGGAAAAGAGATGGCACAGATCAATAACTGTAAATAGGAAAGGACCCCTATGGTGAGAGATCCAGTCGGATCCTACCTCTTTGTCCTTCAGACCCAAAAGCAAGATCTCTTCCATGAGAGTAAGACGGATGTCCTTGGAGTCTCCGGGATCCTCTTCCCCCAAAGTCTGGTTGACCACAGCATGTTCTTCGGCCTCCAGCCGCTTGTCTGCATGCTTCCCGACTTCCACACGTTTCCCTCGATGGATCAATGTTGTCATGGCTTCTCTGCTGGGTGTGTAAGCCTAACGGAAACACAATTTTGTAAACAGCCGCTGATTGTGCCATCTCTGCTCACCTGCCAGGCCTTTCAACAGCCCGTGTGAAGAAACTCCTCAAATCCCAGGCAACCTCCCCATAGCAACTCCCCTAATAGGCTACGGGCGCTGCCCCACACACTTGACCCAATCCCCACAACCTAGAACACATTCTCTGTGGGGAAGTGAGGAACAGACCCCATGCTCAGAAGACATGATTCCTTCTGCGTGAACTCTACAGCCTTCAAAAAAAAACCCCAGCTCATCTATTATGCTAAACCACTGTTTGCTCAATCATGATTTAATGAATCAACCCCAAGGTAACTGAAGTATCAAATAACGACCACAGGGACTTGAAAACAACAGACTAATTGTTTTATGAAACAAGTTTTGCTTATTAGCTTACCACGGGTGGTTTGCAAGCAAGTTCTAAACTTGGTTTCCATGGGATCCAGATGTGTTTGGACCAGAGTTCCCAGAATTCCTACGCCAGTGAGAATTCTGGGAGCTGTAGTACCAATACAATCCAAAGGGTATTCCCCCTTCTCCTTTTTCTAAATGCTGACCACATTGTAGAGGCAGCAAGTTAAAGTTGGAAAGGACTATACAGGATCGTAGTCCTTATTGAGTAACCGTTTTGCCAAAGAACCTCATGCAAAGACTCGCCCTTATTTTCCCAGCCAGGTTTTGTGAGCGAACATAAAAAATGTTTTTTTTAAAAAAAAAAAAAACTATGATAAATCCGTAATATAGGCAAAATAGGCAGCAGCATCCAAGGCTCGTTCGGGGAGCGTTTAGTCCATGAAAGAGGGCCCAATCTTGAGCAAACAGGAACCTGGCTGCATCAGGTGAGGACACCCCTTTGCATGTGATGAAAGAGGAACTGTGTATGTGGCAGCCACGGGGCAGAAAAGAAAAGGGTTTGAAAAGGGGGCTTCGGCTGTATTCCTGAGCCTTTGGGGTGGAAATAAATCATGGCAAATGTCAGTTTAAAAGGTGACCCCTTGGGAGGTGGGGGCAAGAAGGAGAAAGAAGCCATCCCAACTCCTGTTTCAGAAGGAACAAACCCTCCAGGGGGAAAGGGATTGAATACACGTGTTTTCTCTCTGTCTCTCTCTCTCTCTCTCCAAATAGAGACCAGGGTGTTCCCTACCCCACAAACGCCGAGGGGGCTGCACGGCCTGCCCCCAGCCCCTTCTGCACAACACCCTCCTCATTTGCAAGCTGCTCCCCCGTTACGGGCAGGGATGGCTCCTCATTGGGGGGGGGGGCAAAAAAAGAAGCCCCCCCCCCCACTTCCACCTGCTCCTGCCAATGGAAGAAATCGTCCTCGCCCCCCATCTATGGCTGCTTTGCTTCCCCCCCCCTTGCACCAACCCTTACCCGCACTCCTGGCTCTGCCTTCCCAGCCGCTGCTCAGCCTCCCTCCTCGCCCTTCTCCGCCTCCTGGGGCAGCCTGCAGCCCCGGTAGCCGAGCGCGCCTGACTTCCTGGGTCACCTACGGGAAGGAAGGAGGCGAGAAGAAAAGCCCCAAAGGCTCCCCCATCGCTTCCTGGTGTCCCCGGGAAACGTATCCCGGTAGTCGCGCAGAGGGCCAATGGGAGCAGAGGCAGCCTCCGAAAGCGCCAATCGGCTGCTGGGGGAGGCGGGGCTTCCCTCTCCCTCCCCCTCCCCCCCCCCGCTGGCCACTCGCAAACTTGCCAAGGGGGCAGGATGGATAGTCCGGGAGGGGCGGTGGGACCAGCCCGCCTGATTGACTGACGCGGCGGCCAATGGGGGTGCGGAGAGTGGCTTTTTTTGGCCTGGCCAGCACGTCTGAGGAAAACTCAAAGGGGGGGAGGGGGGTGAGGGGGAGGGGCTTGAAAAGCGGGGGCAGAGTGCTCCCCCGTGAGGTGAAGGAAACATGAATAAGCACAAACAATAAATAAATAAATAAATAAATAAATAAATAAATAAATAAATAAATAAATAAATAAATAAATAAATAAATCTGTTTCTGAGGGGGCTTTTTTTTCCTTCTTCCCCTCCCCTGAGGGTCCATAAAAAAGGCTGAGGGGACCCCCCTCTCTTCCCCCCCCCCCACACGCACAGAGGCCTGCTTGAGAGGGAGACCCTGGCCCAGGAAAGGGCAGGCCTGGGTCCCTGAGGGCTGGGAGTGGAGCCTCCAGCTGCAGGGGCAGTCTCCCCCACTGTTCCCAGCCGGATAAGGAGACCAGGGCCTAGTGTGTGGGGGGGCGCAGGGGCCCTGGGGGGCCTCCACTCACCACCTGGCAGCTGAGGAGAAAAAGGCGGGAAAGGCCCAGGTGGGGGAGGGGCTTCCGGAAGAAGCTCTGTCAAAGGCACCCCACTTCCTGTGGGGGAAGCCTCAGCCCCCCCCAAGATCCCCTCTTGGGGGGTCAGATTTTTTTTCCTCCGCCCCCCCCAGGCATGGCTTTGTGGGACCAAGCAGGGGCCCTGGTGGCACGGAGGGGCCCCCAACCCCAAATCCCGGGCGTGGTGCCCCTTCTTGGGACAAGGCAGCTAAGACCTCGACTTACAACCGTTCCTCTAGCGACCGTCCGAAGTTACAACCACACTGGAAAAAAGGGGGACTTTTTTTCACACTTCCTAGCCGTCGCAGCCTCCCCCGTGATCACGTGATCAAAATTCAGCCCCTTTGGCAACGGACTCACTTAGCGGCAAAATAGTTGGGCTCAATTGTGGTCATAAGTCAAGGACCACCAGTAGCCCCCCCTTTTTTTTCCCAGGCTGGTGGGTGGGATGCCCCCCCCCCGATCTCTCCCCAAGAAAGCCTTGTAAACAAAATAAAAACAGGAGCCCCGTAAATTTCAGTGGCTTTAATCTTTTTAAAACAAATTCTTTTAAAGCATCCGAGGACCAGGAGCGGGAAGGAAAACGGCACTGAGGGAGAAAAGGAGAAAAGGAGAAGGGAGAAGCGGCTGCCTAGAACTCCTCCTTGGGCTGGCTGATTTTCTTCCGTTTGGGACTGAGGTCTTGGCTAGAAGAGAAATCCAGAGGATAAACCTGGAGGGGGAAAAAAGCCAAAAAGAGATGCATATAAATGCATATATATGAATACGAATTGTTTCGGGAGAATTCCCTCTTCCTCCTCCTCCCTTTTATTGTTCTCTTTTCATTGATTGCAAATAAACTGTTTGGTCTTGGCTGGATTGCTGAGTGGAGCAGGTCCGTGAATGGTAACCCCGGCGGAGGCTTTTTATTTATTTATATTTATTTATTTATATCCCACCTTTATTATTTTGATAAATAACTCAAGGCAGCAAACAAACCTAATACTCCTCTCTTGCTTTAAGGGACAGTCTTGATGCTCCTGACAGGCAAACCTTTCTCTCTGAGGTTTAATGAAGTGAAATCAAATATGAATTTTTAAACCCTGCTTCCCCTTTGCAGAGGACGGGGCGCCCAAACAACAGCCAGGGAAATGTTTGCCCATTTAATACACAATCACAACTGCAGTCGCAACTCCGCTTCCCTTCGGAGCTAATATATTCCAGCCAATATGTTCTATTACTTCTTCTTTTTTCTTCTTTGGTGCCCTGTTTGCCATTAGGCCTGAAAGCGCCACGAGCATTAACAGCCACTCATTTATACAAGGGAAGTGCCGGAACATGTAATTCTTTACTTAGGCTGGAGGTGATGAGAAAAGGCCTGTAAATTCTCAGCCATTGCTGCAAAAAAAGGGAGGGGGAAAAAGGTGTGTGTGGCTGCAATCCGGCCTGCGTTTCACATCATGCAAGCACGGCTGAACTTTAGGGGACTTATTCTTCGGTAAACATGAAGAATGTGGCACAACGTCAATAAAAACATCGATGGAGATTAAATGGAGGGTTCGGCAGAAAAATGCAAGATTGGCCGTCTCCAGCAAACCTGTTTAAGATTTAGGGTATCGTTTCAGTGAATAGATGTGGATTTGATTGAGAATTAAGCCTCACTAATGTTGCGGGTAGTGCCTGGGAATATAAGTAATAATGTGGATACCGCTATCCAAAATAGATTGATCCTCCATCAGTGAGGGACTGAGAGAGGTTGGGGAAATTTATTAGTATGCAAAAATGCAGATTATTCTATTACAAAAACAAGTGGTTGTAGAAGAGGGAATTGTCAGAGTATCAGTCCCAAACTTTACACGGCCAAAAAAAGAGACACCAGGAGGCTCCTAAGAAGGCCTGGCTACCTTTGGTGTCAACACCTGTTACGTGCACAAATCTGTGGCTTTTCACCCCAGAACAATATTCCGAGATGGCTCCAGAGCTTCAAGCAGAACCAGAGCTGTGCTCAGTTGCATGGCTTTGAGTTTGTCACATCCCTGGCTGGTTGGATTTATTTCAGCAGCTCCGACTTTGCTCGCTTATTTTGTGGAGTGTGTTTCTGATTGCGGCTACAGTCCAAGGCATAGTTTACATGGGATCAAGTGCGAGTAAAGAACTGCAAGGCAAATGTGCAGAGACATTAAATGGATGGGCAGCAGTGAACCTCTATCTTCCCACAAGCCACCTCCCTTTACAAAACGGATCTTTCAAGAGGTCAAACTTTCTATTTATTCTGCCAAAATCCTGCCTGGAGAAAGGAGGGAGGTCTAAGTGCAACGCAGAAGCACTTACAGGCTTATCCAGTTCTGAGCTCCTTCTCTTCTGGGCTTCGGCACCCTTGGATGGTCTCTGCTTTGTGTTTTCCACGGCACCCTTGACAGAGACAGAGGAACTGTTACTCTAGAAGAAAAGCCTGCAGACGGCTATTAAGACGCTCGCGAGGCATCTGCAGGCTGTTACTCTTCCTCAGCTCGTGCTAAAAAATTAATGAAGGGCTCTCTAATAGTGGCGACAGTAAGGGCAAGCCGTAGCTTGGTCCTGATGACATGTGATTTACTTCCCCTGCTGTACATGCTAAAGGGCACTTCTTAAGTTGCTGATTCTGGCAGAATCTTTCCCACAATGCTTATAGGTGGATAATTTTATATCAATCAGGCATTTGGCTGGTGCAAAGAGGTTTTTTTTTAGTAGCACTTTGTATGATGGATGGGAGGATCTGCAAAGATTCAGACTGACCTAAAGGTTCTTTCTGGAACACTTTCTGCTGGAAACTGGGAATTCGGGGTGGGAGTTTTTATAACCCCCCACCACCACCACCAAACCGGCTTTCACTCCAGTCATTTAATCTCTTAATCAGCACCGTTTTCTCTTCACTTTGTGGACAATCAAGAATGAGAGCTGGAAGCCTTCCTGGGACTGATCTGACTTCATGTTTTTTTATTAAACAGCTGGTGTGAAGACCAGAAGAGACACTGAGGGCTGCTACTTAGCTATGCTCAAATTTCCCATCTTGGATCCTAGCTGTCCAAATTTAAAGTCAATCTAAAAGTCTGTGCAATTTAGCATGTGATCTTAAGACATTCACAAGAAAAGATCGGTGTGAGGATAAAATAAGATCATGGGTTGTGAGAAAATTTGTGATAGGAATTAATATTTTCATTAACAACAAACATAAATTTTAATTATTTTCCTGGTATCTGCATTTTGTTACTGTTCCCATAACAATGGAGATACCAGGAAAGTAATTAAAATTTAGGAGAACAAAGTAAGAACGGTTAGTACTAACAATTGATGCTGTCATGCCTGCGTGACTCTCAGTCTGATCTTTTAAAAGAATGGATGTTTAAAAATAAAACGCTTACTATGTTTCGCTGGAATTTTTTTCCGCTTCGGGTTCTGCTCTCGGTGACTTCAAGTTCTGATGTCTTGCTTATTAAATGATCCACCTAAAAAGGGTTAAACAACCAAATGGTTACTGGCTAAAGTTTAACAGACCACATTTCTGCTTTTTTCAGGCTTAAGAGTTGTGTACCACAACCTACTTAGGAACAGGCATGACCGATGTTTTTGCTTCCTCTTGCCTTTGCGATACAATCCTCAGCTTCAAGCTGAGCCTTGAACGCTAAATACAGTTTTGTTTATAAGCTTCAGTTGGGCCATCTGACGTTTTGTGCTTTAAGAATCATTTGCCATGCAGCAAATGAAACAAAATTAAATTAATTGGGAGTTGAGAAGCTATCCCAGCACGGCATGGTTGGGGAAATAAATTCATAATTGCACAGGCTGGAACTGGAGTAAGCAGCATGTTCCTGCACTCAAGTAGCTGAACCAGTTTTCTTCTTTTATCCCGTGGGGAGAGCAGGGATGTTGGGAAAGAAAACCCAGCTTTGTACCTTAGAATTACTGATGGGGCAGCTCTGGTGTTCTTCTGTGATTTTCTCTTCCTCTGTGCAAATTAGGTTTGGTTCTGTAAAGGATTATGCAATTCTTCAGAAAACTAAATCAACGATAATTAAACTTTTGAGCTGCCTTAATACATTTTCAAAATTAGGCAGAAGGAGTCACACTGGTCTCTGTGCAGAAAGCAGGGCTGAAAGGCTGTGGTGGGGAATAGTTGTTCCTCTCCCATTTCCCAAGAGTAGCAAAGTACCTGGGGTAGCTAAATATTACTCTATCCACATGTTTAGTCCCAAAAAACCTGTCCCAACTCAAATTGCATCACCCAGGGTTTACATGCATGAGAAAGACAACTATTTAAATTCAATAAAACAAAAAAATTACAATTAAATATAAGCAAAATGCTTTCCAGTCAGAAGGACTTTTCATGGGGGCAGAATTTAACCCATAAGATTTGTATCATCTTTCTGGAGGTGAAAAGAGGTCTTTGAGTATTTGTTTCGCTGTCTTCTTTTTAAATCTCATGCTTATTTTTCAAACATACACGATTCACATTAAAAGCATCGAGTTCACAACTTCATCTGATGCCCAGAAAAATCAAGGCAACTGAGATGAATACCCTGTTAACTTGATACAGAAAAAAAAGTCCTATGGCATGTGTACCTTCAGGGTGTAGCATCTTGCTTGCATTCTTCTGCCCTCCTGTTTTATTTTCCGGCACAAAATCTTCCTGTGTAAAGTACACAAACAAGAATGTCTTCCAACGGAACTGTTTTGATTATTTTGAAGACGGGCAATGCAAGTGATGTTATTGTGACCCACAGCAAAACATAAAACAGATTCCTTCAAGCATACAAATAAATCCCAACACACTTACATCAATTTTTTGAGGCTGGTCTTCCTGAAGGTGCCAATCCTGCATGGAAGCAAGACTGGCATCCTCCTTTAGGATGGCTTTGTCCACACGCTCCATGCGGTCCTTCTCAGTGGTCACTTTCACTTTCAGCATATGAAAAGGGGTGGGAACCTCCCCAACATTGAGGTACATCGGCTCCCCCTCAAAGGCCATCCCTTCACAATCGCCCTCTTTGAATCCAGGGGGCTGGTAGTCAGGCGGCGTAACTGGAGGGGAAAAATAATCCATGCTTTGACATGAAACATGTTGATTAGTTTGACCTATCTCCCTTATTAGACGATATTAAGATTTTAAAGATACCTTCATCATAATAGAACAGCTTCATTGTCAGGCAGACGTTATCAGGCAACGGGCCTAGGTTTTGCATCAGGATATAAATCTTCCGGATGAGCAGGATACTTGCTTTCTTAGTATCAGCGCATGTGATGCTCGATTGACTCTGTTGACTAAAAGCACAAAGTAGCCGGAGTTGTATTACGAGGCCAAATAAGTTCATCACCTCCCCTAAAAAGGAGGATCCTGAAGTTTTAGCTTCCTTCCCAAGTCTGTAAACTCGGCTCTATCCAAGTCATTCCCTTGCACCTAGCTGTGTCTGCAGACAAGTGTTACCCCAAAGGGAGCATGGCAAGGGCAGCAAAACAGTTCTTGATGGGGAGGGTTAGGGAAATTAGACATAAACAGAGGCATTTATAAAAGTGTGCAAGATGTGGAGAATAGACATAGAATTGTGTGCCTCTCTTGAATGTGGTGTGGTGCAATGTGGTGTGGTGATTCAGCAGCACACACCAAAGGCAGGATGTTTTCACAGAATGCCACGATCTAATTTATGACAATTACTCCATAGGTTGTGGTGTTGTTCTTTCCACTCGCTTAAGTAGCTTTAAAAGGGAATTAGTCAGATTCATCACGGAAGATAAATCTATCAGGGAGGACAAACCAGGAAGGCTGGATGGGACCTAAAAGGTCAAAGGGCATATGAACATGAATACCAATTGTAGGGAGTAAGATGAGGGGGCGAGGCTGCCTTCCGACAGCCTCTGGAAATAAAATCCTGGGCTTCAGTCATTCTTGCATGATGAGTTAGGGATCTTCTTAATTCTAGAAGGCAAGCCTATGTTTGCAATTTTTGTATTTCTGCAGAATTTCGGAGGTGGTCAAAGATGTTTTTGATAATATTTGTTGCAACAACCCTATTTAGACTTTGTAACAAGCCCATTCTTAGTGAGCAATTGTTATGAAACAAATGTACATTTTCCTTGTCAACAAACACACCCGGGTTAACGTTCAGGTTCCAAAATCAAAGCATATATTTTTCCACACTTTACTGGGACAAATAGCTAGAAAAATATTTTACTGGAGTTCTTTGATGAAGAGGGAAAAATAAAGGCATACCTTCTGAAATCCATTGAAGGTCCTTTGTCTGTGTATTTGAACTTAAACTGGTAACATTCTGTAACCGTCTAATACAAAATGCAGCAGTTATTTATCTAGCACTCAGGGAGAACTGTGAGCGGAATGACAGGATCAAATCTATTTTGCAATGCCAAGAAACAAATTCCAAAGCCTTGTGCATAAGATAAATTTGGGAAACAGCATTTTGCACAAAAAAAATCAAACAGTAGGTGGTTTCTTAATGGTCCAACTAAAACTATAAGAATGGGGGGGAGGGAGTCTTCAGTATGTTTACAATAATATAATACAGAGGTAGGGTGACACCTAGTGGGTTGTAGCTTTGTTATTTTCTGTGTCAAGGAAAGTATTTTTTATAAAGAAAAAAATTATTTTGTTCCTCAAGAACAAAAGAGCTAATTCATTTCTTTCTAGCTCCAGTGCTGATGGTTCCTATTATCTTGATGTTAGATTGCATGCAAAGCTTTAAGTATCCACCTTTATCAAATTGTTCTTTGTAATAAATATCTTTGTAAGAATTATAATAGATGTTTTGATCCAAATCAAAGCATCCAGTTACAAAGCTTGTAAGAAATGACATGGAAGACATACCTGGGGATCCTCCTGGTTGGTGTAGACCTGTATTCAGTGATAAACAACAAAATGAAAATCAAGCAAAGAGAAAGGAAACCTTTATTTCCATATATGGAATATATGTTTGCCAAACTTACTGCTAAGACGATTAACCTGAGCTGTTTAAAAGACAAGCAAGAAAGAAATTGATATTAGAAGGGTTTTAATATTTGTAAAACTGTGGCCCATTAGAGACAAAATGCCGACTTACATATTTTTTCTGCAGGGCATCGTAGCATCCTAGCATCCTGCAAAAAATTAAATAAGATTGAGGCTTTAAGCTTAGCTTTTGCATGCATGAACTGAAAATACACTTTAAGTGTATTAATTGAAACAAAAAATATGCAGTGGTGCCAGATTATGCAACTTTTTCCATATATATATATAGTATTCCATATAGTATTCATGACTGTTTACCAGTGGGTTTGGTTAAGAAAGCCAATTTATATACTTATGCATGAAGCATAACATTAACTTAATTGAAAACATGTTTCTTTTACAATACATCTTCCCCAAGACTTATTTAATTTGTACACTGCCCAAATACCAATGACTTTGCTGTCCAATACATTCATCTCCTTGGTTAAATAAGACAAATCAGGAAAACATGTAAATTTGCAAGAGCGTCATTCATTTTCTGCTGGCCAACCCTGCAAGAGGACACAAAGGTGCTGGAAACTGCAAATGGTATATAAGACATACCATTTCACGAGCTGGCTGGACCCAGGGCATTTTTTATCCTCTTTTAGGATCTTCACGCAGAGATCTTGAAAGACACAAACCACCAGCATTAATTGCAATTCAACTTTTGACTGGCTGATCTAAAATATTTTACTTCTATGAAATCTGAATTGTAGACCATCTTGCCTCATTTGATGGCTGTTGGGGGTGGGGGGGGAGGCCAATGACATCACTTTCATCATTGTGTAGGGAAATGATGTCATCTATATGACATCATCATGCAACTGCAAAATCTCCCTGATTAGAAGATTCAAAGATCCAAATCTTTCTATGCAAAATATGCCAATAGCCCTATACCCCAAAGTCTTGAAAATGGAACTGTTTTTTTAAAAATTGCCCCATAAGAAACGAAACCTCTCCCCCCTTCCCCCCAGAAAGGTTTCGGTTATTTTAACTTCCTGCTGTTCACCAGCCTAGCAAAAAGTTTACACTGGTTTAGACAATTTTAACTTTTTCCCTTTCATATGCAATATGTTTTTTAAAAAAACATCTCAATGTCATTACTTGAGCATGATTGATTCCTTTGCAAACCAACCTATTCCTTTATATCAGGGTGAAGCCAAGCTTGGCAACTTTAAGACCTGTGGATTTCAACTCCCAGAATTCCCTAGCCAGTCATGCCACGGCTAGGGAATTCTGGGAATTGAAGTCCATAGGCCTTAAAGTTGCCAAACTAGGACACCCCTGCTTTATATATTTTCTTGCATGCATTTAAATGCATTTTTTTCTGAGAAAGGACTCTCCAAGGAGTGGATGGGATCATCGATGGTGAGACGGGCTTCTTCTCAAAGGTCCATCTTCTCTCTTGGAGCCTCCAAGCTTCTGCACATTCTTCCAAAAGCAGGATTTCTCCTTCTTTTTGCCCCAAATCCATGGAAAGGGCATTACCATCTAAATATCTCGTCCCATAGGCAGATTCGGGCAAAATGCCCCTGAGATAGGTGATGCAGGAGACGGAGATGGCCAGCAGCCGCTTCACCAACATGAGGGATTGCTGTTCGGTTGCAATTTTGGTGGGGAATATGGCCGCAGTCTGGAAAAGAAAGAAATCCTTAATCTTCCAGGCCAAACGATCCTAGATTTCAATCCTGGGATCTGTCTTCAGGCGCCTCAAGCCTACCAGAGGATTCCTTTGCTTCTGCAAAGTTGCCATGTCCTTTTCTAACGGAATATTGCAATCCTCTGTTAATAAAAATAAATAAAACGATTGGTTAGTCCTGGATTGTTAAGGGGAAGAATAAGGGGAAATGGTCCAGCTAGGGGTATTTATGGGTGCCTTCCCACAATGCCCTAAGCCAAGGATGTCCAATCTTGGTAACTTTAAGGCTTGTGGACTTCAACTCCCATAATTCCCCAGCCAGCATGGGAATTCTGGGATTGAAGTCCCCAGGTCTGAAAATTGTCATTTTGGAGACCTCTACCCTAAGCCATCGTTCTAGTTGCCAAATCAGGATGGCTAAACAGATTGGGGAAGGTGGCCTTCAGGAAGAACCAATTTTGATGGGAGCAATGAAGTGTTCCTGGAATAGATTTGTAGGATTTATTGTTGTGGAGATGCCACGGTTTCCCAAAGTATGGAGAATTGCACAGTCCACCATCTTTTTTCCCCCTCGGGACCTCAAAGTGGCTGCCATATTGGGAAAAGCCAGCTGGTGGAGGATGCTAAGTGGATCTACCAGACTCTCCTGGCTATCCTCCATTTTTGCTGCCCTTCTGTTCCTAAGATGAAGAGAAAGTTTGGCCCTCGAGGGGGAACCAAGGTTCGTCTTTGCCATCTTGTTCATCACAAAGGTTCAAGATGGCAATCAAGAGCCAGTGGATGCAAAGGGAGCCAGAACTGGCCATTCTCCTCACAGCCAGCAATCATGGCTGATGCAGGAGAGGAGAAATTGGATTGCCTGGTTGGAGAGATCTGGAGCCCCCATGGCACAGTCTAGAAACACTGTCAGGAGGAACTACAATACTTTAACACCTATTATTGTTTGTGTGTTTTTTTTAAAAAAGGACATTGGGAAAGGGGAGAGAAGGCCCACCATGAGGGGAGAAAATGGCCGCCTCGGGCTGCTCCCTCCCTCAAACATGAGGCACGTTTTCGCCTTTCCCGCCTTTTTTCCTCAGGCAGCCCAACAGTTGCCCAACCCCCCCACCCCCTGGCTTTTCCCGCCTTTTTTCAAAGCAGGGGCGGCTGCTGATTGGAGCCCTGCCCAATGACGTCATGTGGGATGACATCACGTGCCTATGACATCCTCTTCTAAGTTGGAATCGCTTCATTTTTATATAAAAATTATAGATTATAGATATAGAGATAGAGATAGAGATATATAGATATAGCCTCTGGTGATGAGGTTTAAACATGACTTTAAAATTATTTATTATTATTTAAAGATTTAAAGATTTTGGGCCACCCATAGCCAGCATTTATATTTAATACATGTGTTTATTTATTAGTTAAACTCATTCTGTGTCATATACGTGACTTTTAATATGAATGTTTAAGGGCAATTTTAAAAGCATCCTTAAAAACCAGAAGGCAACTTTGGCCAGCTGTCCCCTTCTACATGGTTTGGGACTACAAACCCCATCTCCACCCCAAATCAGCATGTTCAATGGACAGAGAAGGATGGGTTGTTGAACGCCCGCCTTCTCTCAGGTCAAGGAAGGGAGGAGGGGGAAGAATAATGGTGTGACTATAATACCCATCATTCATGATGGGCGGTAATGGTTAATGCACCATCTTTTTCAGGGCTAGGGTAGAATGATGCTTTTCTCTAGGCCCTGTATTCTCTATCTTTTTTTCTTCCTTTCTTTGGTCAAAGGGACAACACACCAACATTAAACCACCATGCAATCCATAAAGCACAGCAATTGGATTATCACATCATACTAAATCACAATTTCTTGAACATGCATTGCCTTTAATAATCTTTAATAGAGGCCAAGGTTAAATACATTTTGAATTATATTTCAACCAGGTTCAGAAAGGATCCAGGATATGTTGCAAGAAGAAAAAAATCTCCATTGCTGGAGGTTTTCAAAAGAAGATTGGACAACCATTTTTCCGATAGTATAAGGTCTCCTGCCTAGGGCAGAGGGTTAGACTAAATGACCTCCAAGGTTCCTTCCAGCCCTAAGATTCCATGTTTCTAATGTCATATTCCATGCAATGGCTCCAAGCAGTGAAAATATTCTTTTCTTCTTTGTGTTAAATGAGTCCAAAGTTCAATTTGTATGCATTTGACTCTTTCCAGATGAGAAACTGTCTTGCAAATAGCCGAACTTTAAAGAAGATTTTGCTTTATGTTCATGAATGTAGATTCTGGATGCTGTTTTTACTCCATCCCGTTTTCAGGTGGCCCGAAATGGAAATCCCTGACAATTACCCAGCGCTCTTTGCTTGTTCAAAGCAGATTGGCAGACATTACCTGATTAACCGATTAAGTCTGGCAGTGCCCCAGGGATCGTTAGCAAATTCCAAACTAAACCCAGATAAACCCTCATTTGGGCTGCTTGTCTCAGATCTACCAGGTGGAGCTGAATGGAAGATCTGGGTTTTGGCGATCAATCACTCTTCCCAAATGCAACAGTTAGATTTTTATATATTGAAAGGCTAAGATTAGCTGCCTAATAGGGCTTCTCAAGTGAAGAAAATATCCACTGCAAACTGGAGATGCCATCTAAATTAACGGATACGAACAATAGCTGGCGATTCCGCAGCGATTCCCTTGGTTTCTGGCAATTTTAATATAGCCTTCATGGCCAAAATTGATTCCCCAGCTGTTGGAATAAAAAGAGGAAAATAAAGAACATATGCTTTAGGAGGGAGCTTTCTTAAGTAAGGAGTCTAAATGAGGATGCAGTGTGGTGGGTTGGGAATGCCACTGATATTCCTCAAATTACACAAGATTTCTTTGGTGTCTGAAAAGTTAGATGCTTTGATTGACAAGGGGAAAAAATAGTCAAGATGCCAGTGCAATCTACAAAAGAGTGGTGGCCTCTTGCAAGCTGCATCCTCACAACATACTAAGAGAGGATATACAATATTTAATAATTTGGCTCTCCTTTTCTGCTTGGGAAGCCCTGAATATGGTTTATAAATCAAGACATTTGCAAAAATATCCACCACTTCAATCCATTTACAATCCATTTTTCCTTGCACAAAAATGGATCAGACATCATGCATAATCTCCCTCCTGCACCTTTGCAAAATGACAGAAGCTACTAAATCTTCAACTGTCCCTAAATTAAGTCCTAGGTGTGATGCTTGATGGTAAGAAAAGAATGCTGCGTTTATATTTAAGACCAAAGCATCTTAAAATAACTATGCCTGATTATTAATCCTGGTTTAGCCCCTGAAACTGGCCAAGAGCTGGCATACCTGTTCTTCACAAGCCAGTAATCCATGCCATTCTCCTTTCCGTATCCAACCACGAGGACGGCATGATTCAAATGCTGACTGGTGCATCTGACATCATTATAAACTCCTATTTGGGATAAAGTTGGAATCACTTGTAAATGTTTATCGGGAACCCAGGATCCCAAACTCACAAAACTGAATCTTGTTCATTTAACAGATGTTAAGACCTCACCTTGCTTATACAGAAAGAACGTCGGCTGGTTTGCATTGATGGCCACTGATACTGGTCCAATCTTGGCTACAGCATCCTGCAGGTAAGTCTCATTTCCAGATGGAAGCAAGATATATTTAGAACAGGTAGCAGCTCGTGCAGCAGGATTATAATGACATAACCCATCCTGCAGGAAGCAGGAAAAAGTTCAAATTGGTGTTCCTCCTGAGTAAACCCACAGATTTGTGCCCCGCTCAACCCCAGTGCTTTTCCCTCTGGCTTATTTCTTAAATAACCTTAAATAAATAATTTCTTTGGCCTTTAAAACCCCAGCCTCCTTCAGGTCGTAGGTGAGGCCAACACCTTTGGGAGGTGCTAAAATTTATGGCTTGGGACTCAGCCCAACCTCAGTGACTGTAAAATATAAATGCATGTTGCATTGGGTGTCTTGCAAAAAACAAGATTTTAATAAGAGTAAAATAAATGGGTCTGGAATCACGAGAAGCATTTCTCCGCCTCAGTTTGGTCAGCAAAAGCATGATGAGGGATAAATGAAAAGCATGCCATTTTTATAGCGGTGATAAGGATTGATAAAATACGTTAAAAGATCACTGCTTCTAATTGATGGTTGATTCATTCCATTATAATTTAATTCTATGACATAGTCACCTCTTTCGTTGCTTCAAAAGGTGCAGGTGCCATCTTGATAATGCTCCATTTGATGTGAATGAAACAAAAAATATATCTTTTAAGATGGAGCAGCCATTCATTCTGAATTATTCCTTTTCTTTTTCTTAAAGCTGGATAATTATATAGAAGACCAAATGGATCTTATGGCACAATCCTATAAATTAAGTTTGGAACAAGTAGCAAGGGCTTATTTACGTTGCTGTGCGTAGGATTGCAACCTCCGCTGAGGAAGTCAGGTATGATTAAATGTGCCAGCTTTAATTACAACATTCCCCATGCTTTGCAAACTATCATGAAAAAAGATCAAAGAGAGAATTTAAACCAAGATTGTCCAACCTTGGTAACTTTAAAATCTGTGGACTTCAAGTTCAACTCCCTGAATTCTGGGAATTGAAGTCCACAAATCTTAAAATTCCCAAGATTGGACACCCCAATTTACAGCAAGTTTGCAAGCAATTTTCTGCAACAATAACCATACAAACCTTGGCCTTATATGGATAGGAAGCATCGGAGTTGATCCCATTATTATCTATGATATACTGGAAAGCAGCAGGCATATAACCTCCGTTACAGCCATGGTTCCCATAAAAATTGGAGCAATCAACAAGATTCTGCGGGCTAAGCGACACCAGCTTCCCAGTCTTGAGTTTTAATTGAGCTTCCAGGGCACCAACCGCACTGAAGGCCCAGCAAGCACCACACGAATACTGAAAGACAGAGATGGTCAAAATCAGTTGCACAAAAATATCCTGAACAGACCGATGGATGTTTAAAAGTCCTTCTCACCTGGTCTTTAACATTCGTGACGTATCCTTTGTCCCTCCAATCTATAGAGTCAGGAATGCCGATGCCTACGATAGATTTGTGCGACGTGGAATTTCGGTTCCACCAGGATGGGATCTTCAAGCCGGTCAGGAGCAATGACACTTCCTCATTGGTCTGTGGAAAGATCAGAAATACATGCATTAATTTAGCCAAAAGAAGGAATAACAGAATAGTAGAATAACAGAATAAAAGAGTTGGAGGTCTTCTAGTCCAACTCCCTGCTCCCTAGAAAAATTCAACCCGCTATACTCTTTAATGTTCACCATCCACATTTTTTTCAAAGCATGGCAGTACCATTTAGTCTTGCCTGGCATCTAATACGCCTAGTTACCAAGCCCATTAAATAAATCAACATAGCTAACCATATCTCCTAAGTTATTCATGCCAAGTTCATAAGAATGCAGGCCCAGCGAATATTCGAGATTGTGCAGTGCGATAAATTGTACGTTCTTTTCCCAAGTCATTCGGCGCAGCTCTTCCTGATTCTGAGAATTAAAGCAGAAGTCACCATTAGCCAACGAGAAGACCCTGCTTATAAAAACAATTGTGTACTTCTTTTATTTTTAACTGCAGGAGCTACCGCTGGGCCCTCTTACCTTATTTTGGTACTCTTTGCCGTATTTCTTCTTCCATAATTCCCAGTACTTGTTCAGCTTGGGGTCCCTGTGCCACTGGGGAGCAGATGCGACAATAACACAAAAGGCCATCAGCCAAACGTGTATCTCCATCCTGTTGAGATATAGGATTATGAACTAAGAGAGCCACTCAAATTTGGAACGACAACATGAGCTTGAGAGAAGACTGCCTTGCACTGGTGTCCATGGCTCATATGAATTGTAACGATGATCACTCTGGATTTCTTCAAGTCAGGGCACGCAAGAGAAACTGTTGTTTAACTCTCTTTGCTCAATTACTAGCAAGTCAAGAAGGAAGCCCATTTATATCGTTGAAGTGCTGATTATTTATGCTTGTAAGAACATTTCTTTGCACAATGCAGCAATGGTGTTCAGTCAGAAGTTTGTACAATCTTGAAGCCACAATGCCTAATGTCCATTGTGATCAAATTATTGGAGACATTGTGCAATCTCCCAATACCACTCTGATAAATTTACTCCTAAATACACTTTAACAAACGCAGGATGCCCTCAAAGGAATCTCGCTTCACTTCTTTACAAAGGAATAGTGAAGTCCACCAGGCAACCTATTACCACACTTTTAATCACATCACTGAGTTTGCTCACAATGCAAGGAAGATAAAGCACTATTTCATTTATTTGTTAAGAAAATTTATAGGGCCTCACAACTCACTCACAGTGACTCCAGGCAGCTTCCAAAATTAAAGCAAGCTGTAAGTTGAACACCCACTGGAAGTTAGAGAGGTTGTGTCCCAAATAAATATTTTAATGACGCGAAAGGATTCTTACCCATCACATTTCTGTCAAGTCTGGTGTGAAATCGGAGGATATCATTGTGAATTAGGCTGCTTGGAAAACATACAAAGAATCAAGGAGGTAGACCTCCTTTGTATCTCCAGTTTCTTAAACCTAATACACCTTTGCTAATTAAGACCCGGCTCATAGTTAATTTTTGCTAAAACAAATACACTCAAAACAGGAAGAAAGTAATTAATCCGTCAAAGTATCTTGGCTGTAAGTTCCTGTCAGATCCAGGCTTGATAGTAAATTCCTTGTTTCCTTACTTGTTAGATATGAACCCTGACGAAAAGATACCCAGCATTATCCAGAGACTCAAACCTAAAAGTTAACATTCTTGCAAATCTCCTTTGACAGAAAAACAAATGTTCTTGCCCTGCTCAAAGAAAGCATTGCGAGGAAGAAGATGGCCTTCTACCTACCTGAACATCTTTCAGCTGGCGGACTTTTCCAAATCGTACTCGTCCAATGTCTGACTCCCTCCTCAAAGAATAATTTTCTCTTTTCTGCCAACTGTTTGCTAACTCCGTAGCTGAACACAGCCGCTCACCAAAGCAGCAGCCACCCAATGCCGGTGCCGACAGGAGACAATCGATTTATTACCCTTGTCACATGAGCCTGCCCCAAACAAGGAAACGGACTGTGATTTTCACTTTCAGCCAAACAGAAATGATCCAAGTCTTCTCTGTTTTTGCTTGATCAGTTTTACCAGGTTTTTTCTTCTTCTTCTTCCATATCCATCATTGGACGTTGGCGATCATGTTGGCAATCCTATTTTTGTCAACAGCCACATGAAAAAGTGCTGCTGAGTTTTGTCCAAATCAGTCCCTTAGGTTTTTTGCTCATCCTTTAAGGATGAACGACGCGTGAGCCTGAGATTTTGCCCAGAAAGACCAGGCTTGCACGGAGAGGGTTGATTTCATGTTGAAAAACCTAGCTGTCCAGGGCGAACATGAACACACACAATGTTCCCCTCTCTGGGTCTCCTCATTGTGTGAGAAGTGTGACCTTGGTAAGATGTGTGCACTTTAACTTCCCAGCTATCCCTTAAACTAGGGAACTGGGGGTTAAAACGTAGGAAGAAGAGTTGCAGGAATTGGGTATGTCTAGTTTAATGAAAAGAAGGATTAGGGGAGACATGACAGCACTGTTCCAATATCTGAGGGGCTTTCCTAGAGAAGAGGGGGTCAACCTATTCTCCAAAGCACCTGAAGGCAGAACAAGAAGCAACAGATGGAAACTTATCAAGGAGAGAAGCAACCTAGAATTAAGGAGAAATTTCCTAGCAGTGAGAACAATTGATCACTTCTAGCTTGCTTGGGTGCTCTAACACTGGAGGTTTTTAAGAAGAGACTGGACAACCATTTGTCTGAAATGGCATAGGGTTTCCTGCTTGAGCAGGGGGTTCGACTAGAAGACCTCCAAGCTCCCTTCCAAGTCAATTATTCTAGATATGCTTTCTTTGATTACTTTCTAGACTTGGATCCCGTGTTTGTAAGTCATAGCTTACCTCTGGGTGTGTGTATGTGTGGGGTGAACCTAACCAATCATGATTTATTGGGTCAACTGCCCTGAAGAGTTCATGCATGACCTGAGTCCATAGGCAATTGAGCATTAGTTGCTGGGGTGTGACAGGGTGGCCCACTTTGGAGTAAGAGGCTTGAAGCCAACGGCTGTTGTGGGGGCTGGAGAACGGTTTGTCAAGCACTCTTTGCTTTCAGCACAATTGAAACAGGAGCTACGAAGTTACAACGTTGGGCGCACTCTTGGGTCAAAGAAACTCATGGCTAGCTCAGGCAAGGAGACTCCAGAGGTCACAATTTACTCCAGGCCTTTGTGCACAAGGGTGTGTGAGTGAAAATGCACAAACTTCCCTTTTCTCAAAGAGATGCAGCTGGTAACTATCAAAAGGAACAGAAAGGAGGAACAGAATTTGCAACCAGATCCTCCCTCCAGCTGCAAAACCCCAAACCAATGGGGTGTGGGGGGGTACACCATGCTTTCCTACGGAGAACAGCTTGTCAGGATAGGCAAATGCACCATTTAAGAATATCCTCCTTGGACCAGGTGTATTTATTAGTTATGTAGGGATTGGGGAGCTGGGGGGGGGGGAGAGCCATGCGTAACCAAAAATATCTTATTTTAGTGAACCATCACTTGTAAATGGTTTTTTTTTTTTAAAACCTGGGTAGTTTTTCATTTTTCCGGGTGGGGGGGGGGAGGAATTTGTTTATCCATTTCCTCATTTGGATGCTTGCAAGAATAATGCACTTATTCAGAGAAAAGCTTCCTGGTTTGCACAATTGGAAGCAAGTATATAATTTTTCCTTCTCTGGGTCACAACTTCCAAAGCCTGTTTGGGAAATAGGCTTTCTCTTTCCTTGCTAATAGGAGTGTGACTGGTTTTCTTTGCAGATACCCCGACCTCTAGCAGGGATCCAGGAATTCAGTGGCATTCGATACCCCAGTTCTGTACACGCACACATACACACACCAATTCAGTTGCGCTAAGAGGCTGTCTTTGCACAGTCAATCCAATTTGCAGCAGTAAATTTCTGCCAAATTGTGAAAAAATGAAAGAACACGACCTTGGCTTAAGTTAGGGCTGTCCAGCCTTATTGAGTTTAAGACTTGTGGACTTCAACTCCCAGAATTTCCCATGTGGCTGCAGTTGAAGTCCATCCATTCACTCTCAGTGACTCTGGGTGGCTTACAAAAATGATTGCTTATTTTTACTATTTTTTAAGCAGTTCTTAAGCAGTTCAGAAGCCAAGAAAATACTTCAAGACCAAGGTTTTCCATCTGGATTTTTCTATTTGAAAGTTATGCCTCCTAGGAAGACAGCTCTCCAGCTTTTGCAAAGAAAAAAAATGCAGCAAGAGTTTATTTTTTTAAAAAAACTGGAAGATTAAATATTTTTAATACACTCTCAGCACTGCTTTTGAAGCCAAATGGGTCCTTTATGTATCAATGTCCCTCTCATCAGCTCGGGAATCCAGCCGTCGGCCAAGGAAGGACCAGGATCTGCCACCAGGTTTGGCCACCATCACTCACATCTTTGGGAAGCTGGCTAAATTGGCAATTCCACAGGCGTTCTCCATATTCCTGGCCATGAGGACGTAGCCTTTGTCACCCCACTCTTCCCCCCAGCTGTGGATGGAAAGAAAAATAAAGGTTAGAATTCGAAATCTCCAACAGCTTCTCCATTTGGTCATCCAGCTTCGTGGTGGTAAGTGACATTTGGATTATTAAGTTTTTATTTGTGATCAGAGCTAATTTTTCTAGTACATTTTTCTTCCTTAATTTGTGGGAGGTTATCATCATATTATTTTACATATAACATGTTGCATTACGGTTTTTCAGTGGTTACCCACACCAAAATACAGGGTTTGGTGCCTCAGAAGATATTTATCAGATAAAACGGGGGTAAATTGAGCAGTACCTGTTTTTCACTATCCAGTGCTTGGTGCCCTTTTGACTCCCATAACCCACTGCCAGGACGGCGTGATTGATGTTACCAGCATTGCAGTTTTCATCGTAATACACCCCTGAGAAAATCAGAAAGAGACGCCTTCAATTTTGGAGAAACCAACTTCCTTTTGACAGCCAGATCCTGAACATCTTTGAGGTGTGGGGAGATAACGCCTCTCTTAATGTCTCAGGATGAATGAAAAAGGTACATTTCTCTAACAGCAATGAATTAAAGTCCACAGAAGGACAGGGAAGGTTTTGGGGGTCCAATCTACGGAAAACACTCTGCTAATTCAAGAGAAGACCCCAAGGTGACTTCCCAAGTGGGCAGGATGGCTTCCCCGTGTAACCCCTGTCTTGACAACTGACTTCTTTCCTGACTCACCTCGGCTGTAGAACTGGAAGGAAGACAAGCTGGCATCGATGCCCACCGAAACGGGGCCGATCCGGGCTACGGCCCTTTTCAGAGCCCGCTCGTTGCCCTCCGGGATCTCTCGGAAACCACGGCATTTGGCAGCCTTACCAGTGGGATTATACATGCAATTTTCATCCTACAGAGAAGAAAACGGTGGATTTCCACATCAGATCTTCTTTCCTTTATAATCAAATCCTTTCAGGTCTCCTGCCATTGGCAGGTTCCCTCTCCCAGCAAAACCATCTCCACACCCTCCAAACTCTGTCCAGTTCCTCAGATCCTCCACCCTTTAATTAAATTAATTGAGATGACCGTTGGTGCGTGGACGGTCTCAATCAAAACACCCCCATTGTTTTGCCAATTTGCTACGATGGAGACCAAGGCACCGCCGGCATTTTAATGGCTCTGTATTTCGTCCATTTTGGTGGCACAAAATTATTTAGGGTATTTTATCTGACTGTGAGTCAACTTGTTTAGTCTCCTCTATCCAGAGGCCATCTGAAAGGCGATGCTGGTTGAAATGGGAGACAGGCCCCTACCTGGCCGATGTAGGGATAAGAGACGTCCGAATCGATTCCCCGGTTCTCCTTCACGTACTCAAAGGCGTTGGTCATGTAGCCCCCACCACAGCCGCTGTTGCTGGTGACGCAGTCCACAAGATTTTGGGGGCTCAGATTAAGCACTTTGCCCGTCTTCTTCTTCAGCTGCCCCTCCAGAGCGCCCACTGAGCTGAACGCCCAGCAAGACCCACACTGACCCTGCCAAGGGAGAAGAACGGCTGCCAAACAGGAGGAATAAACCCTGCATCTTTACACAGCTGAGTGTCTATGTGTATCAGGGTTATTTTATTTTATTTTTTTCCACACGCACCCCTGGATTACTGCTCTGCAGCCAAAAAAAAAGCAGGAACCTCTTTGAAAGGCTGGTGAAATGTTATTCTTTCAACCTCTAGGAATAAATAATTTTAAATATCTCAGAATTGGCCCCTGACTCCCTTTTGCTTTCCTTGTCTAAGCTAAGTATATTTATTTAACTTCAATTCTACTCGGCGTGTTTAATGCTCTGATTCTGTCTGCCATTGGATCCTTTTCCTCCCTATCATTCCTGATCACCTGTGAGGACCAGGGGAAGGTCTAACAGATCTCTTGGTTGCCAAAAGGGAATGCAATTCTGATTTTAACTCCTTAGAAAGCCAACTTTGGCCAGAGCAGAGATGGAAGGGCCATGAATTAAGCTGCATCAATGGACCAACCCAAATGGATGGGACACACAAGAGAATAATATCCTGACAGAGATACAACTGGATCTCCATCAAACAAGCATCAGCCCATGAAAAGGACCAGCGGAGCTTTACCTGGTTTTTGACTGGGGTTACGTAGCCCTTTTTCCGGTAATCGACAGAATCTGGAACTTTTTTCTCCCAGTCAGGAATGTAAAGAGTCTCGTTATTTTGGATACGAGATGGAGGGACTTTAAGCCCCATCATCTTCTCAACAACCTCCTCACTGGTCTGCAGGTGGGAAAAAGAGGAAGAGAAAGAAAGGGGAAGATGGCTAAGCAGAATATGGGACGCTGATCTCTGATAAAGTTGGAGTCCAGTTCATGATGGTTTTTACACCTGAGGCCACAAAATGACCTTCTCCAAATTGTTCCCTAAACCTCCATAGATCCCATCATCCCCAGCCGACTGGAAGGCCTCCAG